CATCTGGCTCATTTAAAGAACAATTCTGGTTTATTACGACTTGGACTTTGACCATTGTTTCTATTGGTAGTAATAACAGAGTTAATTGCTGAGATCTCTGAACACAGCAGCGTCATTAAACCAGTCCGACTGGGCAGAAACAGAAGCAGTCAGGTTTGAAACAAACTTCCAGGTTAGTCAAACTCATTTGGAAGTGAAAACAAAGGCAAACAATAAACTTATTACCCATATTGTGCATTGTAAACTCCCAAATTGACTTCCTGGTTCAACTTTGACCTACTGTACTTGTCGATAAAATTATCAGTAACTATTTCAATAATCTGTTAATTGTTCCATCATTTTTCTACCAATAATGCTAACCATTCCCTGCTTTTCTCAGTCATATCAGACATGATAGTAAACTGAGGGTTTTGAACTGCTGGTCAGATAAAATGAGAATTTAAGACATCCCATTAGGCTCTGGGAAATGATAATGAGCATGTTTTTACTTTTTTTCTGACATTTTATAGACAAAATGATTAATTGAGAAAACAATGGAGATGAAATGCTGATTAAAATAATCATTAGTTATAGCCCCAGATCTCAACAATTACTTTGGTGAGCACAATGTTATCTCACCAGTGATAAACCAGAATGATCCTTTAAGATAACACTTTAACCAAGCTGTTGAGTATTGTTGTGAGCACAGACCTCTTACCCCTCCTTCTACAAGCTTAGGGTGGCACCAGAAAACCTGCAAGGTGCAATGATAGAGTATCAATAGGGTGATGACCTCATCCGGGGCTTGTGGAGTCAGGGCTCTTTGATAAGAGGTGCATTGATCCCCTGGGACTTGCTGCAGAAGTGGCCTTAATAGGATCTGATGTTTTTGGCCTGGGGCTCCACGCTCTGCTGTTCTCCGCTAAGGCGTTGCCAAGGAACTGCACTGGTACGCCGGCTGTGAAATACTCAGCTGGCTTGTGGTAGGTAGAGACCGCTGTTTTTGATTGAAGCCTGCATACATGTTGGTGTGTGAGCACGCCATAAATGGTCAATGATTCAAAGGCCCGTAGCAGGCCACTCAGCACTATGGAAATGTAGGTATGTGACTCACGAGGAACCAATAAAACAATGTCTCTAAAACCCAATAAAACAGTGGCAGAGGGTTTATCTGTGCTTTTTACGAATCTGCAGAATCTGCTCAACCCCTGGCCTGACCTTCAGTTGAGTTTACTACATCATGAAATCTTGATGTCTCACTTCACCTGGTGGCAGCATGCTTATAACTCTCGGCCTTTCTCCAGCCAGCCTCAAAGCAACATGAATAACGACTGATACTGTAATCAACAGCAGATGTCTGCAGGAGAGAGCTGTTGACACATTTGCCTGTGAATCATCCTGTATCCACCATGTGCAGTCAGCTCCACACCGGACACACGGCAAAACGATCATATATCACAACAGCTGACGTCAGGAAGTCTCAGGAATGAAGTGCGACACAGCCAAGAATGTCCCATTGTTCTGAGTGTGTGGAGGACTCATTGTTGCACAAGTTCAGATAAACACACACAATTGTCCATTAGGCTCATGACTGAAGACAGGAGCTACATCTAGGATGCGATCTACGACAGCTTGGCAAGGGAAGGGTGATTTAGTTAACATGTGCCAAACACCCGTTTAGGTAGTGTTGGAGAAAACGTCAACGATCAAGTTTCAGTAGATCAGTAGATTCAGTTATCTAAGAATACGCCATTATTATTATCATTATTATTATTATTATTATTTTAGTCTTACGTGAAACAACAGACCCAGGATATTTGCTTTATAGTGATCTGATGTTCAGTTTTGACTTGTATCTACATGAAGTGAAGGAACAGCTCTTACGGGTGAAATATAAATCTGTCATTTGAACAGCAGCAGATTTTTTTCCCTTTAGAGGTTTTTTTGGCGTCCTTTTGTGGTCATGTGCAGCTTCAACAAGAGTTATGTCCACGATCACTGAAAAAGCAAAAACAACAGTGAAAACAAAACCAGTCCCCAATAGAAATTTCAAACCTACAGCTTCTTGTGACATCTTCTTGTCTACTCTTCAAACGCCTTTTGGATTTTTAGTTAACATCACTTTTCTTTTTTCTTTTTTTTTTTTAGCGCCACACTATTCGTTTTATCGGCTTCAACAGCTGTCGGTGACTGCCCTTGCTTGTGTCTGATTGATACCATCCTGTTCTGACTCTTTGTTCCCATGTAACTCCATATAAGGAGGCCCTCAGTTGAGTTTATTTAAACAGACCTGCCACAGACAGAGCCCAGTGATGGGCCTGCAGGGTTCAGCTCGGCTCAGATAAGATAAGAGTGAAGGTGAGAAAGTCGCCGAGGTGAGATTTTTTTGGCTGGATGGTCGGTTTGGCGCTCATCAGCTATTGCTCCCCCAGTTGCTAAGCTCCTTTGTTTGTGTGTTGCTCTGACTTTGGCATCAGTGTTGCGTATCAGGTTACATGTGGGAATGAGGTGTAGTGTTAGTTCAGCAGTTCCTTTGTCCCCCGAGTTGTGAATCCACTATCTAATGAATCTGGGAGCTCTGAATCTACTCTGTGTAACTGCATACCTATGGTTTTATTCTAAATTCAGCCCTTAATAGAATCAGATTATTGAATAAATAATTAAAGTACACATCCACTACCACAGTATTGATGTTGGTGTGGAGGGTGGAGATGTTGGTAGTAGGTTTGATGCACACAGTCTATTGTTTGATTTTGATGTCTCCTGTGCACTAAAGCAATTATTTTCCTGTACCAAGCCAACTTTAATTAGGCGATAATTCCAGGTAGGAGGTGTGATTAGTGTCTGAAGAGATAATTCAGTTGTCTAAACAATTTTTAATATATTATTTCATGTCTGCCCCAGTTATCTTAGTACCACTATACTGGAAAAAGGCAGGTTTTTTTTTCAGTGTTTTGTAAAGCTTAAGAGAGGTTAAGTGCAAAAATAAAGCTGTTGTGTTAATAGGAGACACATGTTGTGGTTTATAGTTAGAAATACTTGTGTTAACAACTCTTTCCTGGAGTGGCCCTTTATTAAGGACAGACACATCTACAATTACATGCAACAAATAAAATTTTCCTGTTTGTTTGCCTGCAAAATGTAACCAGATCTACATTCATGAGCTGTGACAGGACGTCTCAGCACCTGTGTCTTCTAGTGCTGCTACGTCTGTGTTTACTAAATGTTGGCGTTGGTGCTAATGTGTCTGCATATGTTGAAAGAAGTACCTGCTGTTCACACTAAGCTTTTTAGGCATGCTAGTCAGGTTGCCAATAGCGTAGCGTAAGGATTGACACTGAAAAAATAAGCAATGTTATAGCTCAAATGGACAGTTTTGGCCAATTTTAGTTAAAGAAGTGTGAGCGCACCCGCAGTATTGTAATCCTTAGCCCTACAAGCCATTTTGGGCATGAAAACTGCCATTTTCAGTCAGAAAATAACTTTTTTCCTCTTGCTATTATCAATTTCTTAAAGAAATAGGAACAAGGATTTTGGGAAGTAAACCTACTTATTTTATTAGTAAGAGTTAGATGAGAATATTGATACCACTTGATAAGTGTGCATTAGGTATAAAGCTAAAGCCAGCAGCTGGTTAGCTTAGGTTAGCACATGCATACATGCATAGCATTAGCTCTCTTTAGCACAGTGTTTTACGCTTACTTTTATGTATAGAATAAACAAACAAGATATAAATGTGTTAATTATTGAGCTTTAGAGGAGCTGATAGGTGGATTTTACTATCTCTACACACAGAGCTAGGCTAGCTGTTTACTACTGTATGCCACAGAGCCGTATTAATCTTCTCGTGTAGCTCAGACATGATTAGCTAGGGCACTTTTTTGTACTAGTTATTTGACGGGCACATTTTTTAAGTTATATATTTACTTTCATCATTTTAATTTTCTAGCTCTTTACCAAAACAAAGTCTGTGTTAACACCTCTGGTTTTTTAACTAGACACTTCTTTTTGACATTTGAGTGACAGACCTTTAAAAAATGTTGCTCCACTGCAACTCTTTCAGTTTAGTCCACACCAATTATCTAGTGTTTTCTCTTGTACATTCTCCCCATAGTTTCCAAAGCAGTGGTTTAAGTTTATGCCTTTTCTCAGCACATGCAGTGCGTAAGACAAGTTCACTCTCACGCACCCACTATCAGCTGCCTTATATCTGTCAATGTCATTTACCTTTTTTCATCTTCACATTTTTTCATCTCTCAGGGTTGATACTGAGGTTTTAGGGAACATATGCAGTTTAAAGCTGTTTTGGCTTAGACAGTGTTTTCATGTAGTTGTCGGTTGAGATTTGCTTACCAAAAATGCCTAAAATTTCCTTTTAATAAACCTAAAGTTGCAGTGCACCTAGTACTATTACACGGCCTTAATTTTACTTCTCTATCAACACACATTGTAACATGACATAAGAACCACTTCCTTGCCTTAAATCACATTTGGAGTTACTCTCTTGTTGCTCCCCCTGTGGTTTTCTACCTTCTGTGACTCAGTACAAACAGTTAAATTTTCCTTTAGTCTTTCATAGCAAACATATACATTGTAATTCCCCAGCAATGCCAGCTCAAGTTGCAAGTTGAAAAGTTCAAATGTAAAACAGAGGCTAGAGCTGTGAGGGAGGATTGCCATAAAACACAGCAGGCAATAGATTAAACAGGAGAACACAATACACTTAGTGTAGAGAGGTATGATTGTATGAGGGGGTGTGTGTGTGTGTGTGTGTGTGTGTGTGTGTGTGTGTGTGTGTGTGTGTGTGTGTGTGTGTGTGTGTGTGTGTTGAGCTGAAATACATCTTTATCAGCAAATGAAACGTCTGTTTTACTGTAAAAGCCAAACCAGGGAACTATTCAACTCATGCTCATTGTCCTTTTCCTCATATCCTCATCCTTTACTGTCAGGTATGCAAGGTAGCTATTTATAACTAGTGGAGGTTAATGAAAAATACATGATCTCTTTCTTGTCTTCCTCAGGTCCGAACGCTATTTGTCAGTGGGCTACCACTGGATATTAAGCCGCGGGAGCTCTATCTCCTGTTCAGACCATTTAAGGTATGTTTGTATGTTTTAAATGGATGGGCTGTAGCTATTCTTAGCAGCTTTCTTTCCAGCAGTCAATTGGACCTCCATTAATGGTGATGAAATAAACGGCAATGGAAACTCTCCCGCGAGGTTCAAGTGTCTGTGTTCCTAAAGCCGAGGTTCAATCACATCTTGATCCACGGGAAGCTTATGTGTGTGCGTGTCTCATGGAAAAATGGCTCGCTGCCTGTGATACAAAAACAAGGCTATTTGCTTCACCTCAGAAACTTCACTTTGTGACAGCACAGAGTCCCTGAGTTTAGTTCAGGTGAATGCATGTGTATGTTGCAAGCTTTTTGGACCAGCGAATAATAGAATAATGCACTTCAATGGTGCAGCAGCAGCACAGTTAAAGTGAATAATGGGACAATCGCTATGCATCTAATCTCTCACTTAGATAATGCTCATGGTATGTACTCTGAGTAAATGGTTTATATCATGAGTGCTGAAAGCAGTAAATCTCGATTAATCAGGTAAGACATAACAATCCAGTCCATATGGTCTTCATAAGAGCTCCTTGACCCATGAAACAACCTAGCTTAGTCAGTTGTGACTCTGCAATGCAAAAATATAAGACTTTTTTTACTGAATGCAAATGTTATAATGCAGTACTTTAGCACAGAATAATATGTTCTGCAACATTTTGGCCACTAGAATCCCTAAAATATCTTGTTTTATACATCAAATTGTAATTTTGTCCTTGTTAACAGACTTTTTTTTCACAGTTCTAACATGTTCTTTCTTTGTTTCAGGGCTATGAAGGCTCCTTGATAAAACTGACTTCTAAACAGGTATGCTACAAGACACACTGAGCCCTGTGTTTCCATACAAAGAAACTAATGAATGAAGCCATCAGTCAGTCTCTCATCATGCTGTTACTGTTTGCATTACGCAATCTCTAGCTCATCAACACCTTTAAGTTTTTTGTCTCTCCTCTGTCCTATTTTTTCTCCTCTTGGTGTTATTGGCTTGTTGACTATGATGGATTAGCGCTCTTTGTCAGGAAGTACCTGGAGAAGGGGGAAAAAAAAAGGTTATTTGGGAGAGGGAAGGAAAAAAGTGTTGCACCAACTTGCCTTTGGCAGTCAGATAGTATGCTTGTAGTCGCAGACAGTCAACTCCAGTGGGACGTGCCGGGATGGGAAGGGAGACGGAAAAGAATTTTTGAGGTGTCAAAGCGAGCGTTTTGACAAGAGCAGTACTGACGGTTGAGTTTTGCCTCCAGGGGCGCAGGACTGAAAATGAGCTCAGCTGGCAGGTGTCCACATCCAGAGTTAAGCAATTTAGCTTCATGTCAGTGTACTTATTACCACATTACACTGTTTCCCATAAAGACATGACATGCTCATTAGAAGGGTTTAGCGCGATTTAGATTGAATGTGCTAAGTATAATACCTCTAAAACTAAGAACAAAGGGAAGCTTTTTTTCCAGTAGTTAAATTTCTTCAGGACCAGTGAAATCCTATTGTATGGTTCAGGATTTTCCCTTTTTCATTTCATTATGGTTGCATGCCATCAAAACCTTTCAAATTAGAACTATTAACTTTACAAGTTTTAATACATTTAGATCCTCTTTAGCGATGTCAGTAAGGGTTGTTGTAATACTGATAATGTTAATGTATTGTTTATTGTGTTTTTGTCCTGAACCTCATACTGTTGTGTTTAGGACTGCAACTTACAAGTACTTTTATTGATTAATCTGTGAAATATCTTCTCGATAAGTTGATTAATTTTTCCATTACAATGTATGAAACAGAAAAAAGGCAGCAAATCCTCACATGGGAGAAGCAGAAGAAATCACTCAAAGAGCAACTTCTCACCTCGCTGCAGTGATGTACAGGTGTACTCCGGGACCCTGTGACATCACTGTTGGGTGTAGTTTAGTTTCAAAACATTTGCTGATTAATTCAATGCTGATAAAACAATCATTGCAGTTCTAGTTGTGACTGAAGCTTTACAGTTCAGGCCAAAAGCTACATTGACCTTCACTTAACTTGCAGCATTGCAGATTTCCTAATCTAGAAAATGTGGTTTGTACAGGTTTAATGAATAAGTGAGACACTCAGCACCTCTCTGTGCACTTTGGCCCTCTCTTTACAGACCTCATTGCTCCATAGTTTCACAGTTGCAAACTTCTACATGACAAATACCAACTGATGCTTATGTTCAGTCACGTTGTGCAAAGTGCTGTGCAACATTCCTCGGGCTTTGTTTTGAGTGACTCTCCTCCCGACTAATGGCAATGACAGTGGTGATGTAAATCAATCGATCTCCCTCTCCCTTCCCGTCCAGAGAACACACAGCCACTACCATATATAGCAAGAGCCAGATCTCAGACCCTTTCTATTTATATTCCTGTTACGCTTCCTCCTCCTGACGTCTTCACTTAGTCCGTGTTTCTTTTTTTTTTGTTGAGTTTCTTCTTTTCTTTTCTTCCCCTCCTCCTCCTCCTCCTCTTCTTCACTCGACTTGTTCAAAATTCCCATAACCCTAGACTGCTTTTCCAGATCACACAGTGCGACCTCATGGGAGCAACATGTTTAGAGATTTCGTTTTCCTCTCACACCCCACCTCCTCCCAACATCCCCATCCACACACACACACATACATACACCGCAAAAATGTGTATTCTTTGTTCATGTCTGCAGCAGCGGTTAGAAATCTGACAACCAAACCGGCATCCTTTTTTTTTTTTTTTTTTTTTTTTTTTTTGCTTTTCCCTCTTGCTCACTCACCTTTACTATTGAGGGCGCCGGCTCTGAAGTCATGCAACCAGAATATAAAACAAGCACCACTGAAGTAGATGTGAACAAGACTATATTGCATGGTTTTCCACTGACAGGCCTGTTCGAGAAGGTCTTAAAAACAATTTCTACCCCCCTCCTCACTTTCTTTCATTTTTACTCTCACCTCTAACCTCTAAATCCTAACTCTCAAGACCCCCCATTTTTCTTCTCCTTTCTCTCTTGATCTCTTCTCCTTTTTCAGCTCCCCCCCCCTCTCTGCCTCTCTTAAACTCACTCACACACACTTTCTAGCTCTCACATTGCCCGTATTTGGTCATAGGGGAGCCGAATGATGAACTCTCCTTGTACAAAGTAAGCATCCAGCCTCTTTTTCTCTCCCCCTCTTTCTCTCTGTGTCGCCACAGCTTTATAAACAGGGTGAGAGAGAGAGAGAGAGATAGGGAGAGAGAGAGAGACAGAGGAGGAGGGGGGTGGGTATGATGAGAAATAAAAAAAAATATATAAAAAAGAACAACATGTCTATGTCACTCAGACAGAAATGCAGACTCAGTTTTCTGCCTTAAACCATGTTTCTTTCTTTTGTTCTGTCTTCTTGTCTCCCCAGCCAGTGGGGTTTGTCAGCTTTGACAGTCGATCAGAGGCGGAGGCTGCTAAGAATGCCTTGAACGTAAGTGTCATGCCCTCTCCGTGCTCCTCTCAAGCACCAGCTCAACGCTAGTATATCTTGTGATGACTTGGAATCGGATCTTTTCTGCCTTCTGTGCAAATGCATTTGATACCAGGGAAATTTCTACATTACATTCACATCCAAAAAAGCCAGGGAAGTTAGTGAAGACAAACATTTCACGGCTGCTCTAAATACTGTATGTCTGAACATTTCTGTTTAAGTAAATAAAGCATTTTTCTTAAAGCTTTGCCACGGATCCTGCAAGGTCAGGAGGAAAATGTGCTCTTCTTTCACATATAAATAGAAGATATTGATCTAGGGTTTAATTTTAATCTCACTTATTTCAGAATGGAGCTCAGTAGAAAGCCTTGATGAGGGAGATTCAAATATAAAACAGAGCCCATCCTCACAGGGTTTATTCAGCTCACTTGAAACAAAGTATAGATAGACTGTAATGAACACCAGCTCTCACACAGCTTTATCCCGCCCCCCTTTTTTTTTTTTACTTGTCTAGATATACACCACCACTTCTATTGCTTCTTAAGTTTTTGTTGATCTCTTTGTCACAGAAAAAGATCAGATTTATCATCCTCCTTAAGTGGGACCGTGACAACGCCAGCAGAATCTGTCAACTTTCAGATGTCGAGATATTGGTACACATCAAACGCAGAGCAGAGAGTTGAAGAAAGGATAGAAATTATCATCTTATTATGAGCCAACAATAGTCAGACTGTTTCCATAGAATTACCCAGTCGGGCTGAGAATTGAACAGTGCTCTTGTTTTTCGGGGGAAAGCAACGTCCCAGGGGTCATATGGAGATAAGCCAGATTTTGCAAACATCTATCTGCATATTGAAATATGGGAAAGACAGAAACTGTAGGAAAAGGGGGATTTGCTTCCTGTTATGGTAGTTCTGTTAAAGTTCCTCTAAACTATGAACAGATACAACCTCTAAGAGAATACTTTATTCTCACTATAGCACACATTACATCAGTTGTCATCATCACCAAAACAATACATGCAGAAGTGCTAAGAAGCTAAAAAAAACCCCAAAAAAACACACATTTCAAGGTAAAGATTCAACACAGTTCAAACTGAGATGCGCTCAGGCCTCATTATATCCATGTACCTTATTATACTCCTGCAGCCTCGACTGGCAGAAGCTGTGAGTGCACTGAGCCAAGGCAATCCTAGTTAATTCCCTCTCCTTCATGAGAAGAGTCATCCCTCGCTTGTTTCAGCTCAGCTTTGCCCGAGCCTGCGGGGACGAGCAGAGAAACCCATCCTCACAGCTTCTCACTCTTGTGCTGCAGAGAACTTTACTCTTGACTGCTTTTCTCCTCCATTGATCTGACCTCCGTGTTTTTCTGCTGGTCCTTTGCAAGCAATCAAATGACGTTAATTAGAGGGCGTTTATAGTCGCTGGTGAAATTCTTCCTTGTCTTGCTCCTTCCGAGCAAGCCAAACAAATAGCAGCTTTGTTTTTGGATAAAGAAGAACCTTTGTTTATGTCACATTCCTTTTGTTTCTTCGGGCGAAAGAAGTTTAGAAGAAAAATGATTTGGACTAGTGCACATGTGGAGTTATTTGATGTAGATCTGAGAGAAAAGCAACCTTTACTTGGCTTGTCATGAGCGATGGTATGTCAGAAGGCTTTTAGCATTGGCATCTCAAGAATTCACCCGGATATCTGGCTCACTTTAAGCAGTGATGCTTTCTGTATGTCACGGCAAATGGGGGTTTTGATGTCATGATATTAAATTAGTTACCGAGTTCAGCAGGGAGGATAGCATAGCTCGCCTGCCTGTTGTATAAATGACATCATGCGCTAGCCAGGTTTGTGTCATCAGGTTGTGATTTTCAGTCGTAGGTCATCACATGCACTGAACCAGAATAACACTGTAATCCACAGTGAGTTGTTTACAGCAAGCTTCAAAGTCTAAGCAACTGAAAATGTCCTCTCACCGCCAAGATATTGGCAGTAAATTCTGTCGTGAAATAGCGAACGGTAAAAAGTATACAGAGTGACAATTCCAGACATCAGCCAGGTCCCACTGGACATTTAAACAACACACAACAAGGCTGAGAATGCCAAAGTGGAAGATGCGCATAATAGCTAACTCCTTAATGGTCTAAATTAGTCTGCGTCATCACTACTTCAGAGCACAAGACCGCAAATCTCGTAATTGCTCTATGTTATTTATAATGTCTCAGGTATGGTTGCTAACGTATTACTGACTTAATATGTAACTATGTTAAGTCATTTTGTCTAATCTTACTAGACAAAGACTTTTAGCAACCTTCCAGAAAAACAAGAGACATTTAAGAACTATATAAACAGCTTGTCTGCATTTGTCATACTTGGCTGCTGGGATGTGAACAAATATGTTGTTAGTGTTGATTTAATTCAGATTTAATCAGCATAAAAAACAATTGAAGTATGCTGAAATCGTAAATACATTACTTTGAATACTCAATGTGAAAGAATGCATTAGCATGGATATCTGCAAAATAACTTTTTGCTGGAGCCAAACTTATTTCTTGCCACCAAACATCCCCAACTATGGCTGTTATGAAACTGCATATATACAAAGTATACATTGAAGCTGAGGTTTAAAGAAATTCAAAAGACCTTCATGAAGCGATGACGTGCCCTAACCACACTGTCCACGATGAAGACTTATATAGAGCTACAAATTGGCAGGGGTGGTTTCAGATGTTAATTTTCTGCAGAGACGTTGTGTTAATTGACTGGTGGTTGGAGCATTTCAAAGGCTCTTCTCAATAGAAATGGAGGTCGAAGCTCAAGGGTATCGCAGTATTTAGGGCAATTTGCCATACTAAACTAAGAAAATAATGATTTCTCTTATATAAAGTTGAAATGGGCAATAACAATAATAAATGGCAAATAACATAAACCTATCATTTTGTAAAATAATTCAGGAATTATCCATATTTCTATGTCGAGGAACATCACTAAAAGCATAACCATTATAAGGTGAGGATGCAGACTTTGATTGTTTAGTGATGACACACACCTTTACCTTAAACAATTTAATAGCATCTCAGAACCAAAATGTGTAATGCGTATTTACCATTTCATTGACCTTTTTGATTAATAAATTCAACTATTGTAACTATTTTATTTTAAGAGCACACAGAAAAGCTTTCTATGAAACAGTATTTGTGCTGACATATCTTTCCATTGTATGTCAGGGGGTCAGGTTTGATCCAGAAATCCCCCAGACCCTGAGGCTGGAGTTTGCCAAAGCCAACACCAAGATGGCCAAGAACAAGCTGGTTGGCACTCCCAACCCCCCTCCCTCCCAGCAGAGCCCTGGGCCACAGTTCATCAGCAGAGACCCTTGTAAGTACTCCGTCTGTACCTGAGCTTGTCTTACTTTTGTTTGTCTGTGTTGCTGTTTCCTTTGGCCATTAGTTGCTCTTGTTTGAGGTGACCGGACAGTTGTTTTGTGCTTTAGCTGTAGACATGGAAATGGCTTGGAAGTGACTGCTGGTCAACATGTAGTCTTAATGGGCTGTGTTTCATTCACTATTTGATACTTGCTCCATTGTCTGGCAACAGAAACAGAAAAACATGTAAATGAGAACAGCCATATTGGGAATTCAGCTGTATTAAAATACAGTATACGTGAGCACAGAGAGTGGGAGAGAAGCAAACACATAAAGGACTGAAAGCAGCTGACACTAGGCAGAATGCAAAAAGATGTGGTCCAGGCATATTCTAGGTTTTGACCTAGTCTTATTTCTTTTAATGGTGTTTGTTGTGTGCTCCTCAGGGAAACATCAGCCTGTGCACTCATGTTAATGACATTTCTTTTAGCAATCCCTTAACAAAAATGTTTCTTTGAAATCAGATTCTTTTGGCATGATGGGTTAACTTGATCAGAGCTCTCCCCCTAAATGACACATATCCTCTGTTAGATAAACAGTACATGCTCTAATAATTTGGATTCAAGGCCGTGTATGGAATTTGCTAATGTAGCTCTCTAACCTTTTTTTCCCCATTTTGTTAAATATTTTTCCAAGGGGTTTAGGATTGTGCAATAATCAGTCATTGATAGTTGAACATAGGCCAGCTGTGGTTGTACATTCTTCCTGAATGACCACACTGCTCTTATCTTGGATCTTTTTTTTTGCCAGAGAAAGGGTGTGTACTTGAGGCCCCAGTGGGAAATGGAAGGAAACAATTAATGAAACCATGACGTAATCACCAGGAGAGAGAAATTGCTGTCATTTTCTGATAAGAGATGTTTAAATCAGTCTTGTTTCTGATCATGCTTTGATAAACAGTTACCAGGATACAGAGAGCATGGGGGAAAATGCTCCTTAAATTACACAGCTATCCGATCTTTCTCCAACAAATAGCTGTTTTTTTTTTCTTCTTCTGATTCTGCATTTTTAAGTGTTCACGCACTCTGTACCACTCTGCACTGTCATCTCTCTCTTCACTCATGCGCTATGCTCTTTTTTTTCCACAGTGACTTTACACTCGACTCAGTGAGTAAATCACATCTGAGATGGTTTCCTCTCCTTTTCTCCTGAAATAAGTCAGCTATAGTGATATAATGAAAGTATAAATAACCGTTCTCTTAGCTGCTGTTTCTATAATGTCTCCGAAGCTTTCCATTCTTGCACAGTACATGTGCAGTGTACAATGATGAAGGTGCCAGATTTACCATTAAATTAATTCTCAGTCATTTTTAAAACAGTGGGATATTCATTTCAGACAGAAGCCGGTTTCCAGCCGTGCAACTGCTGCAGCTGTAGCTAACAAGCTAATCAAGCTAAAACTACTACAGGAGGATGCTATAAGACTGATAAGAAAACAGTAAATCAGAAGTTTCATTGAAACATTAACTCTTTTTGGCTGCTAAGTTTACATACTTATTCATTCATATTTCAACCTGGACATTTTCATTTAAAAGTTATAAAAGAAAAGACTTGTTCAGTTACTACTGTAGGTAATAAGCTAGCAAATGGACATGCTAACGAATGTAGCTACATTTGAGCAGATAAAACTAACTGTTCATCTATCAGTCTATTCAATACACTTTTATGTTTTTGTATTTGAAAAAAAAAAAATCCAAATCCTCCATCCTCCTATAATAATCTCTATTATTGCTATTATTACATTTTATTGAACACTGCTTCAACAGAATCTAGAGTGTGACAGACTTGCCCTGCCATGTAACGGTTGCTAAGCTATGATTTTGATGTCAGTTTTTAGAGGAGGGGCTTAGCTAACTCTCAGCTAATATAAAGAAATAAAATGAGAGGAAGCCACTTCAGATAACTGATACTCGCCTGTAGCGCACCTCCACGACCACCACCACTGTCACCACCTCCACCCTGTCTCTCTAGCCACCCACCCATCCACTGGCCACTCTCCTCACTCCACTCCTCCTCTTCTTCTTTCCACAGATGAGCTCACAGTGCCTGCTCTATATCCCAGCAGCCCAGACGTGTGGGCGTCATACCCGCTGTACCCGGCGGAGCTGTCGCCGGCCCTCCCACCCGCTTTCACCTACCCCTCCTCGCTCCACGCTCAGGTAACCTGCAAACCCACCCCTTCCTCCCTCACTACCACCATCACCACTGCCCCCCACCCCCCCCACCCCCAACCTCCTCCTGAGCCCACTGTACAAACAGCTGCTACCGTCAGCCCTGAAATCATTTGTCTGTTCCATCCACAGATGCACCTCAGAGCACACACCACCCAGTCACATGTCAAATGTCATATGCAAATTTACAAAAGAACTGATTGGCTGCAAAGCATAAGTGCAGTCATGGTAAAATCAAATATCTGGTGGTTTTACTCGTATAGTTTGGAAGTCAAATAGATAAATTGGTTTTGGAGGAATTTTTCTCTTATTCTTAAAGACAGATATCTCTACACACATCATGTTGAGTGGTGATTTGAGCTTAATAAAGCGTGAGTTAGGGGAAGAAGTTGCAGTTCTTTCAAAAGGAACTAAATACATATTTTCCTTTTTCATACATACTTAAACCATTTTTGAACAGACATCTTGAGTTGACAGCAAATATCAGCTTCAAACTACCATTTCTAAAACACTGGGCAGTCATATTCAGCTGTGCACCATGAAAGCAGGAAATGAATCAGGAATTTGATATAATTTAATTTGTTTATTGATAGTGAAATTAGTGACTTTATAAATATTTAATTTCCAGGGTGTAGTCCATTTTTGCAGATGTGTAATGCTGTTTTAACCTTCTCTTGAGAGGAGCTGCTACCTGATCCCATTAACTTCCAGGAATCGAACTTAACTAAACTAATCGCACTGTTCACCAAACCTTTGCCTTTCTTACGTCCTCCACATGCAGTTCATGTGGAGGTGTAAGAAAGATTAGTTAGTTCGACTGACCTCTATGGAAAAATAGATATGAATAATAAGATTCCCTGAAAAAATACCTATCCTGTAATTTCCAAATGGTGTAGAAGTTGAATTTCAATTTCAACCAATCACTATTTTTTTCACTCTGAGAAAAGAAATAAAACTTCCCTATACCAAAGTATCTTTTTTAGCGTACAGGGACTCCTGTCTTGGTCTTGAAATCGTGAAAACTACAAACATGTAATCAATATAATAATTCAAATTTTTTAAAAAGCTAGTTTCTCAACAGAGCAAAAGTACCTAATTGACCTAGCATTTACACATTCAATATAATTTTTATAAAGTTAATATTTCGAGATCATGAACGGTTTAAAAGGGAAAATTCTGTTCAGGTCTAACATCACATACCACAATTTACAGTTTTCATGAATCAATAGTAGATTATGTCATGTCACTTTATTTATCCCAATTACTCATACACACACACACACATTTGTGAAAGCTTCAGCACTTTAAAAGGTTTGCATCATCATTTGATCATCACCTACTTCATTAATTAAATCCCCCTTTTTCCAACAACCATGATCCAGTTTATTGAGGTCTTCTAATCTGCACAGCTCCACTGTGAGTTCACATAAGAATTCCTTATTGATCCCTTGAAATTCTTCTCATGAAGCCTGTTTGGTACTGGCTGACCCTGATAAGATCTCAGTATTAGATGTATACTGTTTCTGAATTTTTGTTTGCATATTGGTTTTCAATCTTGTATTGATGTCTCAGTACTTTGAATTATTTTAAGCTCAGAGTGTTACAGTATATGTCTTTTATCTCTGCTAGAGATTATGCAGAGTATATTTTCCATATATAATGCAGATGCTAAGGTTATTTAAGTACAAAGGCCCCAGTAAAGCTGAAGCTCAGATGATGTCAGAATTTGAAATGAGTGCAAGTTGAATCTGCCTTGCTGGCATTTTTCCACATGCATCGGATATGTGAGCACACACTGACACACACAAAGAAAATCTGGCTTTGTGATTTCAGTGGGCGGTTGTGGTTAATGTTAGCATCTCACTGTCTCTCTTGACCTAGAGTAGATGCTGATGTGAGACATAAAAATGTGTATATAAACAGATCTTACAGCACACACACACAATGCTAAATTATTAAATTTAATTTATGTTAAAATTAGCTCAGCTCTCTGGTTAAGAAGCTGCTGTAGCCCTTTCTAGTGAGAGTACAGTAGTGTTGGTGGTTTGTTAGTAAATGTAATAACTTGGCTGTTTGTAAAGTAATAAATCTGAGAAGACCTAGGAGTCATTCTGTTGTGTCATGTGAATTTCATTTGAATACAAGAAGATGATTGTGCAATGTGGAAATTTACAAGGCATGACAGTAATAGATAACCTTTTATAGTAAAGATATGAAGATCTGAAACAAACAGGGTGTAAATTGTCTTAGTATAATTCTTGTATTTCAAAGACAATAAAACAATCCAGTGTCAACTATCAGCTAAATGTCAAATTAAAAGTAGAAGTCAGTTGTAGTTTTTTGGCTTATTCCCTTTCTTGCCAGTAGCATTCTCATGTTTGTTCATGAAGTAATGAAGTGACAGCCAGAAGGCATTTAGCTTAGCTTATCTTAGCATAAAAGATGCAAAAAGCAGGAAACAGCTAGCATGAGTTCTTTCATCTCTGCAGTGACTCTGCTGCATCTGGCCAAGAAACTGTCTGGAACATAAGCAACATCAAAACCCAAAGTATCAGCTTTACACTTTGGTTTTTGTATGAATTAAACAAATGAGATAAAACATGTTAATTATTTAGGTCCAGAATGTTGACTGGTGGATTTTGTTAACTTTGGAGATAGCCAGGCTAGCTGCTTCCCTCCTGTCAACAACAAAGTGAATAAATGTGTTTCCATTTATGTGCAGTAAATGAGTCCTTGATATTACAGGGTTTAAAAAATGGTCAGAGAAATGCAGAGAGATGCTAACTTTTTAGTCCAGCAATCCATTTGTTAATAGACTGAATATCGCATTAAAGTTTGTATTTATATAAATTGTATATAGTCATATCATTTATACGTATGCGCCTGTGTGTTAATGTATGTGTGATTATGTTTGTTTAGATTCGTTGGCTCCCACCTGCAGATGGAACTCCTCAGGGATGGAAGTCCAGGCAGTTCTGCTGAAGTATGTGTGAGTAACAACTTACACAAATGCACACAGACTCTCAGCCCTCTGCCCTGCTATGACAAAGAAGTGTACATTGCGCTGCGCCGTGAAAATACTTTAGTAAATGTTATGACACTTTGTTTAAACAGGCGCAGAGATATTCCCTAAACATCTGTCGGGAATATCACAGGGTGTTACTAGCGTGTGCGTCAAGTGAGCAATCTCTGTTTACCCTCAACCCTCACATGAAAAACGTACATCCAGCTGACTGTTGAACTAACCAGCTAATTAATGAGTGCATACTACTCACTAACACAAAACAAATTAGCCTGTTAGATGTAAATGTGGATGTGTTAAAACCCAGTCGGTCAATGAAACCAGTCGCTCCTTGCTCCAACGTCTTGGGACATCATAAGAGATGAAAGGTATGATTTAAAGGGAAACTCCATTATTTTCCCCTACTCAGGTCACAGGGTACAGAAGCTCGACTTTACCCATCGAAGTGATGCTTGATCTCAGGCATCAAAGGCAGTGAGTCAAACAGAATGTACAACGAGCTCCGATGCCGATGTTTTAATAAAACAGACGGGGTAGATCTCAGCAAATATGACTAAAATGCTAATATAAACTGCTTTGATAGGTAAAGTGATTATAACCAGTGGTGAAAGTTACTCAGTACATATACTCAAGTGCTGAGAGGCTGAAATGCCAGGCAGAGCTGAGAGGAACTGCAGAGCCTTTTGATAATTCTGTGGGTTCGTCAGTACGAGCGACACCTTTCATTATTTCATTATACATACAGTGGTCAATATAAAAAAAGCTATTTTTAAGCTAAGGGCCTTAATGATCTGAGTACTTCTCTCACCACTGATTGTAATTGATTGTATGATCTTATTGCACTGAAACAAATGAATGGAAGTAAATCAAGGTTTAAAATTATACAGGCTGAGTAGTTTTTGCGCAGGATCAGAAGTTACTGGTGTGTGTGCAGGAAGGACGCGTGATATTTATTGTTCTTGTATGTGAGGGAAAGTTTATTATTTTGCACGCGCTCTAAAAATTGCCATAATAAACACTGAATATTGTTCTATTATAGTCTTGGTACCATACAGAACATATTAGTACATGTTTGTCATTTTGTCAAACCCTGGCAGGATGAAATACATTTTTTAATTTAAAAACTGGTTTTGGCATTTCTGCATTATGACAAAGTACACAGTGGAGAATTATAAAAAAAAAGATGGGACAGAAAGAGATGGAGGATGTGATGCTCCATAAAGTGGTAAATGTGGAAAATGCACCATGAACTGCTGAGGTACCTGGGTACCGCTGGAAGGGCCATTTTTATGAATCTTTATTAAAGAACGATTAGCATGGGGCTTTATTTAAAATAAATTACAGACAAATTCATTTCAGTGGAGCTGCAGACAGCACACAAAGCAGCCGGTTTCTAATAAGTGCTTTGATAAGTACACAAGTCCACCGTAGCCACTCGTGAGCTACGCAGCACATGTGTCTCGCTCTCTGGTTCAGACAAACTGAACGCTGTTGTGCTTGCAGAAAAACAAAACCACAAAGCACAACAAATCCCCTGCTGGTCGGTGTGTCTGTGTTGACTGACTGCGCCCATGTGTGTGTGTCTGCACTCGGCGCCAGTCACACTGTCACCAGCGCCCTCCCTTCAACGTCTCGGGACAGGAAGAAACATGTTCTACCGACCCCTTAGGGAGTCAGTGGGGAGTGGGTGGGTGCTGGTGGAAGCATGGAGGCTAACATTCATCAGGCTGTTGATTGGTGCTAGTCCTCTGCCCTCTCCTCCTAACCCTGCATCATAGCTTACTCGTCTACATCCACACACTTAAACATACTGCATGAGAGAAAAAGCTGTTGGGAGTAATTTGATGTTTTGGGGATTTCATCTCTTTGAGGGGGGGGGGGGACAAAGGAGGAAGGGAGTGGTGAAGGGAGGGGCTTGGAGGAAATAATTACTCCTCTATCAAACCAGGAGGAAGTCATTTGGTCAGTCAGGCTGCCCCAGTGGATATTAGCCCCTCAATGAAACAACAACATCCCAACATCCGGCTCACAGTGGAGGGTGAAGTGAAGTTGAGACATCCAGTAAGAATATTGTGATAATTACAGGCAACTGCAGCAGATATATATATACAGTATATACACACACACACACACACACACACACACACACACACACACACACACACACACACACACACACACACACACACACACAACACAGGACACACACACACAGAGTATGTAAGTGCATGCCCAAACATAAGGCCTCTCAAAGGTAAATACACACAAACAAAAAAGCTGAGTTCATCCAAACTACACAAACTGTTTTTCTCTCTTATTTCTACAGATATATATCTTTTAATGCTGATAGTTTCCTCTGAGTCTTCTGCTGCCGGCTCAGTACAATGGAGGTGGAAGGAATTTTGTTTTTGGTTGGTCCTCACGGCATTGACAAATTACACGTCTTTCCAGAAACTGTGACCTCACTGTGAACACTTTTATAAGGACGTAATTAGTCCCTATGAACACCGTTTCTGGAAAGATGTATTGCAGTTGAATATTTTAAATGCCACAATCAAACAAAATTGACCTACATTGTACTGGGAGGGATGCAGAAATCTCAGAGCTGTGGGGTTTAAAAACAAATTCATCTAAATCTGTCTTTATGACCATTACTTTATTTATTAACAAGCAACACACATAAAAGTGGAAGATATACAAGACACATAAACACACATTTCATAAGAAGTTTACAATTAACAAGTAAAAGTTTCACTTTTTCCTGCAAATTTCTACATGTTCTACTTTCCTCACCCATGTGACTCTTAAAGGCAGCCAGTGTCTCTGAGACAACACACAATGCTGTCTGCTTTCTGACAGTCTTTGTTCGTTGTATCCATGATAAATTGAGCAGTATCGCCATTCATAGGTAGAACAGCTGGGAAACAGTAAATATTCTTAATTAAAATATTATTATTATTTTTTTTTGTGCTTATTTAAGCGGACTGGCCCTTTTTAAGAAAGTTTCATTTCCAGGGTCCAACAACATGCTCAGTTAATGTAAATTACTTTCAACAAGAGCATGACCTACAAGTCTGCAATGTAATGGTGGACTGAGCGTAATCACTCTATGAAGCATGTCTCCTCATGCTGGCACAGTAAAAGCTAAGGGTTCACTGTATCTCCTTTTGAGTTAAAAGAAATGCTGGTCATTCCCTCCAGAAAACGGTCAGCGTTGAGTTAACTTTGCTCTGTTTGTCCCCGACATTGTGCAGCTTTGCAAACAAACCTTTCATCTGTACCAAACCTTGTGTTATTTGGCCCCTCTGGACTGTTAAATGGACGCAGTCAAGTTAGAAACGCAATGACTTGATGTCTTGATGTGAGCTGTGTTACTTATTTGTGCAATGCAATCCGCGAAGCAAAGCTCTTGTGAAACACTTTGAAGCAATTTTAGCAGCAAGACAACAAGAATAAACTTGAACTGAGATTACAGAGAGAAGCTGTCTGCGTCGCACTACTATTGTACAATCAGTCTGCTATTGATGTGTCATGTGCGCTGACAAAAAGTCAGCATTCGTGAATTGTTATTCACGCTGAAGGCGGCTGGTGACAGTAAAGCTTCACAGTGGGAATTCAGAGAAGCTTACAGCTCCACAATCCTGAGAGGCTTGTGGTCGGTCAGTAGTTGTCTTGGCATCTGAAGGACGGGGACCACTCACGGTCAGAGTATGTTGGCTTGCATTAGGAAGTGTCACCGTGGGAGACTTGAATGTGTGTGTGTGAACAGCTGAAAGTGAGGTAGTGTTCAGGGGTCTTTTAGTCATGACTGGTAATGACTTGTCCTAATCACCTGGCATCCTGCCTGTCAAAGGAAGAACCATTTTGAAAACTTAATTAACAGCAGAGCCACTTTGAAACAGGTATCTGACTTTTTAAAACATTCTGTATTGTAAGGTTTTGTTATTGCAATACCACTGGGGGGGGGGCTTAGGCTAGTCATTCATCTGGATGTTTGTGAAGCTGAATTGTATTTGACATTCATGCTCTGGCACAGAGCTGGGTCCAAAGACAACCTAATAGTGGACATTAATGCCTAGTGAACTGGAGGGAAAGGTAATCCGGATTTTCCATCTGACAAGACATGGTGGGGGAGTGTAGTGTGCGTGCCCGTAGCATGCGTGCTTGTGTGTGAGCCTGAGAGAGTCGAATATGTGTGTGTGTGTGTGTGTGTGTGTGCAGTCTGGCTGCCTGCCCCGAGGACCTTTTTGGCCAATAGCCCGACAAAACCAATGGTTCCTGTGCAATGTTGGACTAACTCCCACTGGAGAGCTGAGGGCCAGCTGGGGCCCCTTCTAATAAGGAAGTGGGACTTTATTCTCTCATCCCCTACTGATACATAACACACACACACACACACACACACACGCATACAGTATAGCTACACTGTGGCCTCGTCCCTGCACAGGGTCTTGGGAGCTAGATACATGTCAGCAGCTGCATTCATCACCACCCAGCACCAGCAGCTATTGCCGGTATGTGAGAAACACAGCCAGGGCCTAAAGGCTTTTCTCCGGATTAAAGGGGCTTCAGACGGGGTTCTTTTTCATGGCCGTGCTGCACAGGTATAGCTCTTAAAGGACCATACTGAGTTTTAGCTCCTTAACTACAAATCAACTGTACTTTATATTTTCACTAGCCATTTTTGAAGGCGGGCTACAGTTTTACATTAGTGGATGTATTCTTCTTACAGCTCCAAGCAGTTATTGGTTTACATTCTGTCCTTATGACATGAGAATCAGTTTGGAGACTCTAAATGCTTGTGCTTTGCAATCCATCACCGTGAGCATCAGGCCTTTTTTTTTTTGTCAACTTTGCATTAGTGTTGCATGGTAATGCAGTTTAAAGTGCAGATTGATTTGATTTGTGAAGGTACCTGCACTGCATTACCTTGCGGCAGTAATGTAATTTTGACCATGTCTCTACTGAAACTGCATTTTTAAATTTGATGCCAGTATCTGAGAGTCAGAAAATGACAGTATTTAGAAAAAAGCCTTACACAAATCTTCTGCATTTCATTCAAATACTATATATGTTTATATGGTAAATTTAAACTGTATCAATTGCTGTAAACTTCTGCTTAAGGGTGCAACTAACAATTAGTGTCATACTTTCTTGATTAACTAATCACAATTTCCCAAAACATGAACACTAACATAGAGGATTAAGAAAACCAACAAATATTCACAAAATTGTGCCAATTCATTTTCTCTCAGTTGACAAATCACACAATGAATTGTTTCAGCTCTAAATCTGATCACATATTGGCCACTATTCAGTTTTTAAAATGAACCCATTTTTGTACCACTTTCAAGGCTGCCATTTGTGAATAAATACATATATTAACATATTAAGGATTTATTAATTCATAAGAAACCTATATAAAATTATCACTACAGAATAAAAAGGATTATCAGATGATGTATAACTGATGCAAATGATCTGATATGTCTGGCGATAAGCTAAAATCAGCCGACAGTATCTGCCACACCGATTACGTCTGTCGCGCTCTGACTTTGACAAGAATGAATGCAGGTTTGAAGTTCGCAGTAATGTATGAAACAGCTCAGTGGTCTGCTAATCATACAGAAATGAATGAAAACCAGTGATGCCCTGGAAAAAAAAATACATTGAAATTTCTAAAAGATAAATAATTGATTTGAATAAGTGATTTATAGTAAATGGTTTAAGAATGAATAGTGGGGAGCTAGTTATGCTCTGCCATTTGTAATAAATTTGAACAATTCCTCTTTTCTCTTCTTCATTTGCAGCGCAGGATCAATGATCACTGATAACACAAGCAGGAACATTAGCTACGTGAAGCCTAGCTGAAATAAAAACAAAAACAGTGCACACATTCATGAGAAACCAAGTCACCTCCCACATTGTCAAACACCACTTGTTTACCTATCTCACATTGTGCGCCAGGGCCGAGTTATTGGATGTAACACATTAAGCCCGCGAATCATTAAACCTTTCCCTAATCCACACAGACATGTTCAATGATCAACCCAATCTTTAACCTTGGTGTCTCAGCCAGAACAAATAGCGTGGTCTGGAAGTATGTGTCGCATCAGCTTAGCCAAGCGGCTGTATAACGCATCGATTCCCTCATCCTTGATTGAACGCGCAACAGGGCATTAGCTAGGCCAGCCGTGCCCCTTCAAAAACGCACTGCTCTCTGGACGGGGAACAGTTCCCAACTTGTCTCCCTCCTTTTCCTGCAACAGTCTGTCTGTCTCTTTCTTTCTCTTAAGGTCATGTTTGGTTTACTAATTGTTTATTGTTCCAAAGAGTTTCTCTCCCTCCTCTGAACCCGAGTTACCACGGTCCTCTAAGAGATGTCTATTTTTGGCGTTATACATCTGGGGGTGGGTGAGGGGGGGTCGGAGGGTTGACCTTTCTCTTCGGTCCGCTGGGTGGGTGGGAGTTGTGGTAGTGGAGCTGTGGTGGGGGGGGGATCATGGGAGATATGGTTGTTAGGCACAAGTTCAACATAAGTATTCAAGACTATTGTCAGCTGACATCCTGTTTGTCGCAGCTGGAGTTTGAGGTTGAACGATTTGGTTAAAATGGTCTTTCTTAAAAGTTCACGCCACTAATTTTACGTGTCAAAATCAGTTTACAAGTCACACGGAGTGCTACACATCCTGAGAAACCAGTTGTGTAATCTCATGTGTGGCTCTGGAGGCGCCTTGTTGAGTCTGAGAAAATAACATCACTTAAGTAATCTCAGCGTGGGCTTGAAGACTACTCATTTTAACTGAAAGCCTGACTTACTAACTGGTGGTGTGAAGTTGGAAAGGTGTGGGCGTTTACCAGAAAGACATTGTCTAATGAAGGATTTTATCCAGTTACATTATGGGAAGAGTGGGATCCAGCATTTTTGGAGCTTGATATATACTAGAGAGTAAAAGTCAGGATATCTTGGCCTCTGCTGCATCGATTTTGAACACCCACGGATGCACTTTGTCATAACAGTGATGAAGTAGCTTTAAATCATGACATCCCGTCTGGTCTGAGTGCAGTTCTCAGGTACTGAGCTTGAAGTATTGTATTTGAAAAAAGCTGGCAAAACTACCAGAGTACTTACTGTCTTTAACCTTTAAAAATAATCTTGCACTTGTGTAAAGTATATCCACAGTAACCACAGACTACGCCCTGAAATTTACCATAAACCTGAATCAGCATCTCCACCAGCAGTCAGGATGCTGTTGCAGCTCGATCACTTGAGTGAAACCGCGTCTCCTTTGTGTCCTCAGGTTCCTGATGTGTGATGGTGGCCGTGGCCGGCTGTGACGGGCGTTGCTGATTGCCTCTCATGTCCAATTAGAAACCTGGAGGACTGACCTGACCCCAGCACTTGGAGCAGCGTAACGTCGGTGAGTTTATGGCTTGGACTCCACGATCCCAGCAGGTGGGGTTGGGGTTGGTGGATGGGGGTGTGGGTGGGGGTGGGGGTGGGCAAAAGGTGTAAATCTCACCTCAACGCCAGAGCAACATGCCTCTCCCTCCTGGCACAGAGTCTGATTTGAAAGTGTGGACTTGTGGAAAAAGTTGTGAAAGGCCAGTTTATTTATTTATTTACTTCGTTTTTGGGGGCAGTGGACAGTATCACACTGCCAACGACATCTGCTGGAATGAGCATAACCACACAGAGCCACGATGACAGCGTGTCAACTTTCATCTGTGTATGTTTCAGCTTTTGCTCCACAGGAAATGTTTTGAAAACAAACCCAGAGTCGCAGTATTAGATATTTGTGGGATAAAAGAGTGTGTGGTCTTGGCATCACAAAGGCAAGTGCAAGAAATTGAGGAGAAAACAAGAAACATTTTGTGTATATGTTAGTGTGTGTGTATCTACACTGCAATATCTACCTTTGTGTGTGTGTGTGGTTTTTATGGGCGTTTGAATGTGTTTGTGTCTTGCAACAGTTCCACATGATCCCCAGTGTTTTCATTAGCGTACAAGGTTCGTGTGCGGTGACCATGACAACCTCACCCCTTGTCTTTGTGTCACTCTTTCTCTTTCTCTTTCTCTTTCTCTCTCTCTCTCTCTCCCTCTCTCTCTCTCTCTCTCTCTCTCTCTCTCTCAGGCAGCAGCAGCCTCATGGGCCTCAGGACATACTAGACCCCAGCCCCCATCACACATCGAGCCCCCCCCCCCCTCCTTCTTCTCACCCACCATCCTCAAAGTCCCTCCAACTCTTTTTTATACTGTTACATACTCAAGATTTACTGGCAGTGCTTTGGCTGCACCTCCTCTGACACCTCCATGAAAGGTACCGGGCATGCATGACAAAGGCACACACACCCTTTGTTTACCAGTTGACTGCATCGCCTGTCTGACATTAGCAGGTCTCTTGCTTTGCATTCTGTATATGCAAGTGGAAAAGACAGCCCACCAGAGGAGTGCAAACACATTTTATGCAGCCACTTTGCAAGGCCAGATGTATGGAAGTGTGGCTAAAGCACTGCTGGATAATGTTATTATATTACTATAATTATTACTATTCTGTATATCATTCATATTAATGTTATTATGATTATTAAATACATGTTGAAGCATGACTTTGCAAAAAAAAGAAAAAAAAACAATGCTGTACATTTTTAGATATTTTAAAGAAATACAAAAAGGTATTTTTGTAATCAAGACAATGTTTGAAATGGTTCTGTTTGATTGATTTATGTTGTGCTAAAGTGTGTGTGGAACTTTCATATGTTTTTTTTTTGTTTGTTTTTTTTGCCCTTCCTGTGCCATTATAAAATGGTAAGTCACCCTGCTATACCAAAGCAGTCCTGTCGGTTTGCTCTTGACTTTTCTACATACCGTGTGGATTTAGGTTTGCTCATGTGTGTGTCTTTGTGTGGGCGTCTTTACCTCATAAAGCAGACATATTAGTCCTTTGTCTGATGCGCTCTGGTTCAACTGAGCAGCCAATGTTAACACTGAGTGTCAAAAACACTCCTGATCCAGCTCATGATTTAGCAGTTTGAGGTAATCAGATGTGTTTAAAAAAAAAAAAAAAATAGGCATTGACAGGAATAAGCCATTGGTGGTGAAGGTAGAGTGACCCCCCCCAGAGACTGCAATGCATGGCAAACTGAGCCCTGCTATAATTAGGAATTTGCCCCTTCATTGTGTTAGCAGGAGGACAGCAACACAGTATAGAGAAAAGAAAGACCAAAGGCATTTTTTTTTTTACACTGGAGAGCTATCTAGGCTAGTGGAGTTATTCTGTTTTTGACTGCTTTGAAGTCCTCAATCTGATTTCTTATGAAGTATGATATTATTTTCGCTGCATGTCTCTTTTGGTGTCACTCCAAAGAGCCACTCTACATCTGAAAGGATATTCACTTAAAGCAATTTGTCTCCTTTGTCTATTTTTAGGGAGCCAATGTGATTCAACGTGCTTTTGTAAATTTTGAATTTACATAGTAATGATTGGAGTGGGGAAAAAAACACCCAAATCTTTTGTAATCTTGTGTATTCTTTGGCCTGCAATAACGTCTTTGCTGTATGACATATCATCGAGTGGTAATGTGTCTGTGACATTTTGACGCCAAAACTCTCATTCATGTCACATCTGTACAAAGACGAACCTTGATTCTTGTACTTTTCTGATGAGGCTAAGTCACATTTCACAGTGATGTGACAGTCAAAACCTGAAGTAAGAAAACAACAATCTTCCCTGTAATCTTTAGCCCAGGATGTGTACAATCATGTTGGACTGGTTGAATTATATAGTCAGTGTTTGTAATGAATAATAATAATATGCACGCACATCATATCAACTGATTTTTCTGAAGCAGTTTTTGCTTTTACAGACATTTTTTAAGCCAACCGTGGCACCAAATTTATTAGAACAAGTATTTATAAGGTGTGTGTGTGCGTGTGTGTGTGTGTGTGTGTGTGTGTGTGTGTGTGTTTTTTTATGGGTATTATGTTTTTAAAGTTCATAGAAGATGCCCATCATATAATTCATTGTAAGTATTATTGTAAGTTTAATTGTATATTCATTTGGTAATTTTTCTAGAGCTTCTTTTTGTGTTTGTATCTGACTGATTGAAACATACTGTATGTGATATATGAATACTGTTTTATCTACATAATTCACTGTGAAATCCAGAGAAAAACATGCTCTTTGAACGAATGGATCTTTTTTTTGTCTTTTGTCAGCAGTACGGTACAGAAGTCCCATGAAATTAATATTATGGTCCCTCCTTTTGTCAATGAAAAATACTCCTTTCTTGTTTCAGTATACCGTGTGCGTACCTGTGTGTTCTGTGCATGTTCACGGCATGTGTGTGTTCTTTTCTTTTTCTTAATGCATACAGTACTGTTGATATTTATGTACTTTAGCCACTGTAAGGAGAAACTGTATTTCAGTGAATTGCAGAGGTGTGTTTGTTTGAAAACAAAAAAAAAAAAAAAAAAAAAAAAAAAAAAGGTGATCAAAATGAGAAGTTTTTATGAAAATGTTAAATGAAGACATTTCAGGCCATCTGCCATTAAAGATTGACGTCATCCTTGGTGTCATGATTACATGTTTTTCTTTCTGAATGTTATTGTGCTTGTGTTTCCAGAACCATGCATCAAGTGTATGTATATACTTTTCACATTGAGCACATTTGATGTGTGGAGCACCAAAACTGACAAAAGGCAGTAAAAAAGATGAGTCAAAAACATAAATCATTATATCATTTATTTACTTAATTGGGAGTAAAAGACGTGTAATGTTATCGACATGAGGAAAATGTTGTGAAGATAGAAGTATGGCGTCCAAAAAGTGTCAAAAAACAGCTGAAAACGCAAGTTGCTTTTGTTTTCAGCTAAGCTAGCTAGCCTCACACTCCACACAGTTGTATATCTGTGCATGCTCTCCTTGAATGCTCCACTGATATTACACACTGCTTGGATGTTGCCCTGGACATTCAAATGTTGCTTTACAGCGAGATAAATTACCCCCACCCCACCAACAAATAAAGGAAACATAGTGAAAGTTAATAAATAGGCAACAAAAAAAAAGAATTTAATTTTAAAGATTGAATTATCAACAGATTAGAAAAAAGCCTCCCTCTTTTTTTCTACCAATTGATGGGTACCCTTTGTCAGGTTTGGGGCTCCATATCCAAAGAGAATTAAGACAAGATGTTGACATTTTGACTGCACTTACCCACATAGAAATATACCTGTGTGAAGGCTCAATTTCCTCTTCCTCTCTCACACTTGTCATTGGATAACACCTCCCCCACAATCCCAGGAGGCCATCAAAACATGATGTGGGTTCCTATAAAGTGGTTTGTGTACCAGGGGAGCTGGAGACCTCTCCCTGCCCTCTATAAGAATAGCCCACCTAACCCAGGGGCTGGCAACTCCTGAGACAGAGGCCACATCCAATTTAGTTTCTCTCTTGCCTGTCTCCAATCTCTTCTGTCTGCTCAGTCACACCAGGTGGCACACACCAGCTTCTCACATGACACACACTCGTCCATGCCTGGGGGTTTTCACACAGGGTGTCGGAGCTGACTAAAGTGGGGAGTAAAAATGCTGTGCGTGTACGTATGTGTGGGCAAGGGGACATATTCATCTGGGAGTATGCATGCATACGCCCCAACCTGCAACACTCTGTAATGGTGTTACTCCCTTTGACAAGTCCATTAAAGAGGTGTTTCTGTCCCCTTTCACTCATGCTCTTCCAAATGTCCTTGCTGAAGAGTGACTGTATTTTCTCTGCAACTGAACAGTCAAAACTAGAATTAGAATTTTTTTATTCATCCATTACTTGAGCAATCTGGGCCTGTACTGTTTTGATTTCCCTGTCAACTGTGTTGCTTGGCTCACTGCAGTAAAACACTGACCACTACTCACTGTAATAGGCAGCCATATGTTATCACACAGTTTGTCCACAATCCTTTTAATGCTTTGACTTCTTATTTTACTGGATCAGCGTGCTAACATTTTGCTGAACACAAAGCACAGCTGATCATGACGGGGGTGTCATTAATTCTGCTGGTATCTGATCCTATACCAAAGTAGTACAAACTGACATTTTGACCTGATGATGGCGCTGGATGAAGAGTCAGGAGAGCACCAGCGTTACTAAAAATTCATCCTGTGGAAGACAAAATTTACCACTTTAATAATAGTGTTGGAGACGTTTCACTTTGAATCACAAATGTGGTTAAAGTGATCACAGCCAATAGGATTTATCCTCTGAGGACTATCGATGGTACAAAATGATGGCAATCCATCCAGTAGCTGTTGAGCTATACTAGACAAGCATGAACAGTGGCATGAGTCCTAAATAATCCCCAACTCTCCAGGCTCAGATACAGTATTCAGCACTGACTAACTGGTGACTCATCATTCAGCAGCCTGCATAGTGTCTGTGAAAGTCTGCACAGTCATTGTCTAAACAGTGATTGGCCAAAAGGGGCTTGTGTCTTCTTGGAAATATTACCCAACCAAAAGCCCTGACACTCCCCACTGCGCTGTTGGTGTCTTTTGTGATTGTTACTCTTTCAGATAAGCTGACTACTTCAGAGTGAGTCAGTGAATTTGATTTCACAGCAGGGGGGTTGCGTGGGGGGGGGGTGGGGGGTGGTGGGGTGTTTTCTTCCTGCGCTGTCCTTTCTGCGCTCCCCCTCGTCCTCACTCTCAGTCTTCTCTCCGTCCACCTCTCAATATTTTTCCTCCTCCTCCTCCTCCTCCTCCTCCTTTTCTCTCATCCGCAGCTTCCAGCTCCCTTGGGTGGGCCCCCGCGCCCTCGGTCTCACAGCAATCAAAACACTGAGGGCTAACTCTCCCACTACTTTCCTGTTTCTCAGTGATTTCATGTTTGTACAATCCACTCTTTGATTCCAGATAAGTACAGAGAGATATTATTTTAATCATTTGAGTTGAGATCCAATAATCGTGTAGGTGTGTGTGTTTTTCTGAAATAATGGGGTGTGTGTGTGTCATATGATAACTTGACTGAGGATGACATCATAGAATGAGCAAGGCCCTTTCTCTCAGACAATAAAGAGCTCCACAGTGCCGCCCAGTGGTCATGAGAGGACATTACAGCACCCACCCACAGTATATGACACCTCCTATACTCATGTTGAAGTATACAGACCCTTTTACTGTGGCAAAAGTAGTAATACTATAATGTATAAGTACATTATAAATACTGTTGGTTTGTTTAAAGTGTAGAAATTATTAACCTATATGATAAACTCCATCTGCTGGTGGAAGAAGTATAGAAGAATTAGCAGAAAAGTACTCTATGTATTATATTATTGGATCATTATTTTTGGTGTATTAATGTATAAGTGTACTCACTGGTGTAGTTTGTCAAGGTGGAAATAATATTAGCAATATTATATACAAAAAATGTATCATATTTAATAAACCTATCATATCTTTTGTGTGTAAAATCTTAGTCTGAAACGTAACTGCTAACTACGTCTATCAGATAAATGCACTGCTCTGGAATGAAGCAGTGTAGAAATATAAACTAGTATCAAATGGAAATACTCAATTAAAGTACAAGTGCATCCAAATCACATTTAAAATAAGTACAGTACTTGGTTAAATGTATTGAATTTAAACCAGGTTAAATGCTATATATAAATGTAATATGCCAAAGCCAGTTCAGTACCAACTGTGTTATTGGACATTACTACAATCTTAATTAAAGTATTGCTACTTTAAAAATGGAAGGCATGAAAATTACTTTGACTGCTGATACAGTCACAAAGAAAAGAGGCCCACCAACTCATTTTATCTTGCACTGAGAGCTCCAGGCGCTCAGTCCTCGAGCCTCGCAGTATCTGAGGGGTCTCAGAGGACTTCACTCCCCACAGTGGGTTGAGGGGCAAACTGGTGTTCAAAGCAGCCCTGCCTCCGCCAGATTAGCCTTGTGCGCGCCAGGCTTATACCTCCGTGAAAGAGTGTGCCACTCAGGGCTCAGAGGGGGATTGTGATCTATTGGTGCTAGACATCATCCCAGTCTGTCCAGACTTGGATGGGTCTCTGTAGAGATGGTAATACCGTTACTGTTTATTAGTCATCAGCTGTGTTTGGATGTGATGTCCTGGTCTGTTTTAAGTTTTGCAATGGCTTTTGTGAATCCAGCAAAATAGACATACACAGTAGGTGTGGTTGCATGACACTAAAACTCCACTGCAGCAAAAAGCAGTTCTCTATTGTGTGATATATATTGATGATGGATAATATTCTCATACATATTGTGGTATAGATTTCAACCCTATTGTATGGATGCGCATTTCTGCCAGGAAAACAAGGAAGTTAATACCTTGATCATAATAAAAAATAAAATGTTCATGTTGAACCAACATTTTCAGTTTTTATCTCTACTAAGTCAAAATTTCATTTAAATACATTTATATTTTATCCTTTTTTTTTTCTCTTCCTGACAGCAATGGACTTCTATACTATTGCCCAACCCATAGTATGAAAGATAGCCCTGTTGAAATCCACATATAAATCTAAATAATCGATTGCAACAGTTATAATCTAAACAGTGATATTCCAAGTCTCTCCATCAAACAATTTCTTCATGTATTTCGCCTTCAAACTTCCTGTTGCTGAGCCAAAATAGTTTTTTATACATGTAAATAATATTTTCAGTGGTCAAAGGATTATAGCTTTCATACTGTACTGAAGTATATCTAGAGCTACTATACAGTTAAAGTAGACACAGGTCGCCCTCTCGTGGTCAAAGAGGCTCAGTGCATATGTCCTCTTCATTACATCCCTTTCTTGAGGGAAACTTCATGAGCGTTTTCACCACTGAATGAATGCCATTATCCTCTCCTGTCTCTCTACAACCCCATCATGTGAGAAACCCTCATTTCCCTAATGGGTTTTTCTGCCTAGCTGTTCAGACCTACTGCTGAGTGTACCACCTAAAGGCCAGCACATGACAGCACAAGACCCCGGCTGTCATCATGTGATTGGACCAGAGCCAGGCTATGTGAGAGAGACTTTAAGTCTGCGATGCTGCGGAGGTTTGATGTTTCCTCAGAATCTTTCTCTTTATCAAGACAGCGATTACAAAGTTATGATGCACATAAAATTTAATTACTGAGATGTGATCTGTGCACTTGATCATGATGACTTGATAACTCTTGATATAACTGGCCTTTGAAACCATAATTAATTTGTCAATCTTCACTCACATTAAATACAATGCTCAAATTCTCCTCTTGCTCAGATATGTGAAAATGACACCAATATTAGATTCACATGACACATGAAAATGACTTTATGTTACAGACAGTATAACCCTGTATATAAGAACTGTTAGTGCAAATTGACTTGTTTCCCAGCTGGTTAAAGACACAAAAAAAACATATAATATATATCATATTGTGTGTGGTTGTTATTGTGCTGCTTTAGGCTGTTTCCCATCACAAAGGTGAAGACCAAATGCTTTCAAGTTTAAGTAAGCTGTGGCACATCATTTAAAGGGCCAGTTCACCCGAATTACGGAAAACATAGTGTCTCACTTACCTCCAGTTGTATCTAATCATGCAGATATCCTACTCTATTTTTGCCCACATTTTGAGTCATTCATTTCTGAGATTTTTGCCTTCCCCCCCTGGTACAATGGAGGTGGAAGAATTTCCATTGGCATCGCTCACAACAGTGAAAAATGACATTTAAATAATTAAACAGCCCCAAATATTTCTAGAAACAATGCACCCGTTACATTGGATAATCCACAAACACACGTTCTGTGGGCTAGCCAGAGCAACGTGGACATTGTTTCTGGAAAGACATGCAACGGTTGAACTCAGTGAAATGACATTTTTCAATGCTGTGGGAAACACAGATGAAATACTTCTTCTCCTCCAGTGCAGGATGGAAATAGAAATCTTAGAGAAAATCTCAACATCTGGACAAATAAATCCAAAACTATTTGCATGGCTAGTTACCACCAGAGGCAAGTCAGAAAATATGTTTTTGAAATTTGGGTCAACCTTTAATTAGCATTTGGCCATTCCTGGGATGCTGTTTTTTTCTTCTTTTTTTTGGATTATTTTAAGGCACTTCGACTGGATGGTAATGACTGTTATACTCTAACTATTCTGCCCTGTAATTTTCATGCTCGCTGAGTTTTTCTGTTCAAGTTAATCACCTAATTTATTCAGATAGCTGTTAGTTCTCAGGTATTTAATGAGGGTAGTGTGCAGGTGTTGGTTTGGCCTTCATTTTGAATGAAGATGAAAACTTCTTTAGCTGGATCTGTTTGCTGTTGCTGAGTTAGGGTCCACACTTTGGGTCTCCACACATTGTTTCAATTATATTGTAGCAGCGAAACTCTGAAAAATGCCAAACTTTTGAGGTATATTTAGTAGAATCCCGTGAGAATAAACTTGACTTTGCCATGACTTATTTTTAGAAAAAAAAAACACACACACGCAGATCTATATCATGTCGTCTATATAAAAATAAAATATGAACTTCAGACTCCAGGTTACTGCTTCTTGAAAATCCTCTTAGCATCCACTCCCTCGTAGTTGTAACTCTGTGAGGAAGAGACAGAGGTGTGTTACTTAATGGAGACATTTATTGAAAGCAGACTGCAGCAATTAACATATTGCATTGGAACCGGGTTAAAATCGATGAGCCGTATGGGGACCTACTGACCTGTACGAGCTCTCCTCCCACCAGAGCTCTCGTGGTGGTCAGGACCTTGCTGTTGTCTTTCCTGGTGAATTTGCCCTTTAGCATGTCACCCTCCATCTCCCACGTACCCTAGTTAAAAATATACAGTTGGTGATAGAAGCTCTTCTTATGTTATGCTACATTTGTCTGCATTTGCCAAGTTTTATTGGCCATATTTGTTTGTTTTTGATGAGTTTTTCCACATTCAGTTCGCTCTCCTGCCAGCTACTACATAACCACTGCAGAGTAATTACTCACTGGAACTTTTCCACCGCTTTCAGCATTAGCATTAGCTGGCTTAATTTGCTCTTTCCTCATGAGTGATGAATCCATCACTCTTTAAAAAAAATAAGCCATATTTTCCCTAAAGCAAACTATTTCTGGTTGCATTTACATTATGGAGCAGCACCTGGACTGGCTGCTGCTGGTTTTAATTATGAATATGAGTCTGCACCACATCAGGACACTCACTGAGACTTCAGTGCCATCAGCCAGGCTGTAGTCGAAAGCGACGCCCAGGGTGAAGTCGATGTCCTTGGTGCGGAAGGTGCTGGACTCTTTGATGTGAAACTTGTCCCCGGTCTGCTCGATGGTGACCTTCAGGTTGTCATGTTCTGCCAGCTTGCGCTTCATGACATTAATACCTTGTTGATAGGAAGAAAAATATAAAAATGTAGATGGATGGATAGATAAGAATCATGTATTGAAAGTGTATTTGTAAGTGACAAGTTCTCTTCCAAGCTTTTATTTTGAAGTGTTCACAGAGTATTAACACTGTGTCCAAAGTCCAAAGATCTTAATTTAGCTGCTGCTATTATTATGGGTTGTTCCACAGTCACCTCAGACCTATCAACACCTCACTGCACTGGCTAGCATTCATACAGCAATGTCAAACTTTATGGAAACACATGACACAGTCACATACATCGCCCTCATGAGCGAGATCATGAGGCCGGACAAATAGAGCTGAGGAACACCATGACTTGACTGACAGATTAATTAATTACACACACTCACACACACTCACACACACTCACACACACTCACCCATTTGTTCCATGAACTTGTCATAGTTCTCACTGCGGTCGACTTTCCAGGTTCCACTGAATGACATGGCTGCAGGCTGGTTTGGGCTGAGGGCAGCTGGTGATGAAGCACTAGCAGAACTTGGGACTGTGAATGCCCAGTGGCCTCCATTTATATAACCCCCCCCCCCCCCACCCCTCCCCCACCCCCAAGCTGGCATGGAAGATGCTCTTCTTTATCTCACTCATTATCTGTCTGCTGATGTGGCCATTTAAAGGCTGTGTCAAATGTAGGGCGATTGCCGCACGACCTCGAGGATACACTGATAGATAACCGTAGGGCAACTCCCCTCAGTGAATCTGGCACAGTTAAACACTGTCGCACTGTTCTGCAGGAGAGAGAGAGAGAGAGAAAAAGAAAAGAGTGGGCTGTTTGCATGGCTGCCCATGGCAGTCACTCAACTGAGCCCCTCTCTGTTCCTCAATCTTTTCTTTGTCGCCCTGTTTGTGCCTGGCATGAAAATTAGTTGTGAGGGACTTTGTATGTCACAATGACAACTTGAGCTGGCATGGTTACAAAGACTAGTGACCCAGAAGAGAAAATACTTGTGACTGGAAACCTTCTATTTGTACATAGTTGCAGGACCAGTGTGTTTGCAAAGTTTCAGCAGCACAAACCATGAACACTGTCTAACATTTTATCATTTTTGATTACAGTCTGTACAGCTTCAGGCAGCACTTGGTTTTCTGTATGATTAGACACATGAACCTTGATTATGTTGCATTCATTTTTTTTTTTTTGTCAGTGTCACCTATTGTTTCAAGGTAATTTACACAAGCACACACTGATTTTAAAAGACTGCATTTATTTTTGACAAAATAATCCAAACCTAAGGTCTGCTCACTATGGTTTTTTTTCTGGAGCTTTCAAAAATATCGCACAGTCTTCATCACTGGATGAATGCTGCTCCGCTGCTCATGATGTCATTGTGATGGATTTGTTGTTATGCAAGCTCAGCAGCTGATTTCATCCTTATCTTTACCTTATCTTTAAGGACCCTGTGAAGGAATAGTTTAACATTCTGGGAAATATGCTTATCCAAACTTCTCAGTTACAGTAGCATTGTCTGCAAAATGTTAATTGAGATGTAAGGTACGGTTGATTTGTAGTATGAAGTAAAAAAAAAACAAAAAAACAAAAAACGCTGATATTGTCTTTTTAAAGTTCCAGCAGCTGTGATTCAGCATGTGTCCTTTGACAGTTGGACACTATAGCTGCATTCTCGAGAGGAAAGCTGTGCACTCGAGGCTGAACTGTGAGATTATGCGACATTATGGAGAAGACTGAATGCATTGTTCACACCTCAAGAAGTCCTCTCAGTCAGCATGAGATGCCACTTCCATTTATTATAACTGCATTAGCCGGGGAGCGGTTGGGGAAATGAGACAGGTAAATCTAATATGTTAGAGCAACAGAAAGACACCTATAGATGAATATAACATCATCGTCATCAGATCTTACATAGTCATCACAGTTCTGCCAGTGCTGCCATTTTCATATGCATTACATGCTGCTTGGTTAAAAATACATTTGGGATCAAAGTTATAGGATTCACAGATGACTGAGTAGTTTGTCTAACATTGCATGATGCAAGATGTTTATAAAAGTTAGAGGATAAATCAATGGGGAGGAACCTAATTCCCAGGCTCAGTTTATCTAATTTATGAGCTTTCAATCAGTAAAATGGACATAGAAAATAATAGCTGTTATCTTTCCAGTGTCACTACAGTATAGATAAGTAAACACTGAAATAGTTTAGTTAGAGTCTACTTTGAATTTGACCATATGGGAATGCAACTTGAAGTGTAGCTGTGGGTTTTAATTGACAATATTATGTGTATGAATAAGCTGAATCATTCAAGCTTGAGAACCAAAATAAGATTAAATATATATTTAAAGTAATAGATAGTCTTTAACTTCAAGTTAGCTTGCACTTTGTTGCATAATGTAAACATAACATATCTTTATAAGTATCATAAGTATAAAAAGTAATGATCGTATTGTGAGTTAGTGTCTGATTACAGCAGTTTCTGCCCTCCTGTAACCCCTTTTACTGCTACCGATAAAGACAGTTTGTACTTTGACTCTTTATTTGGCTCAGCTGATACACGGTGTACTATAGACCGTGGGTATGATGTGTGTTTAACATGGTAAAATCTCAACCATAATGCGATAAAGACAGATGTTATCATAGTTTGATATGCCTATTTTTTTTTTAACTGAAAACCCACACCCATCCTCCGCAGCCCTCACCGTGTTGTTTATGATGATAAGTATGTAGCGAACGCAGCCTGTGGAGATTTCTCTCTGTGTCTCTGGGGCTGATGTTACTCTTTGATGTCACAGACTGATGTATAATCTCACTAATGACTCCCTTCTCAAACATATAATTAGTTCAATGATCGTTTTTCCATATTGCTGTGCCCCAGTGGTCTCAATTACTCTTATTGATGTTAACACCACACCTGGTACTCCTGTATGCCACCCTAAAGTCAAACATCCCCATGGGGCAATGTCATATATATGTAAGATTACTTTGTCTAATCATTGCAGTGATTGATAATTATCTGCTTTTTCTTCTGCTTGTTTTGTTCATCACCTTGAGCACAGTTTAATTGGACAAATGAGTAATCTACATCACACAAAGGCATTAAAAGATATCATAGTTATTTTTAGTTTTATCAACACATTAACTCAGCTAATCTGCTTCATCAGGACTGTGTTAGGTGAGGTTTGATCAGATTTGATTGACAGAGGCCTGGAAACATAAGAAAAGGAACCCCCTAAATGTGATCACATTTTGACTCCAATGCTGCTAAATCCTTATTGGTGCACAGAAATATGTGAAATCACCTTCAAACCAGAAAAAACACAAATTCAGAACTAAGACTGTTCAAATCGTGTCAATTTCATGACAATGCAGGACCCCATCGTTTACATTAAGAGGCTGAGAAAATAGATTTTCCAGGGCTTTAAGCCATTCACTGGATGTGAGGAGTCGCTGCTTTATCTTTTGAGTTTAAAAGAAATTGAATACCTTTAGGTTTGGACTGTTGGTTGGACTCATTTATAGACCTCCGCTCGAGCTCTGCAGATGAATCAAGAACACAAACAGTTTCCAGCTCAACAATATGTTACTGCACTTTAAATCCAACGCAGTAACCTCGTCACATGACGTCCAGAATGAACAGGATTGCTATGAATACATATTCGGCAAACAGTTATAAAATATCTGTCAAATCTGTCTTTTGTGATTGTGACATTTTTATCAATACTCCCACACAGAAAAGCAAATGCATTTTGATTGACTGGTATAAAATGCAAGGTACGTAAAAAAAATATGACAAAGTAGGAAGAAAAAGAAAGTCACTGAGTTTAAAAAAAAAACATTATCAGGGGCGGGACTTGACTTCACAGCAGGTTGGCAGACACTCTACTTTTTTGCTTCCCTGAGCTGATAATGTCATTTATAGTCGTGGATGTCTCTGCATGCTACTGTGACCAGAAACTTCGCTGATGTAGTGCGCCATCTTGTGGAGCACTGATGCAGCTGCTGCATGCACATCACTTCTCAAAGTGACAGAGATGCTCGCACTCACACTGTGAGAACAGCTCCATGGAAATTAAGATTTGGGTTAGACCTTCCAGGGGTTGCACCATCCCATTTTTGCTCAATTATGCTTAACAAATTTTTACAAGCGCTCTGAAGTATTTGGAGAATTTAGTCTCAAATGTCACAGGCTTGCATATTTAAAAGCCGCCTCGTGAGATTTTAATTACAGCAACTGAATCTGAAATTTCTGTCAGGGTTGGCTGGCATTTGACAGTGATTTCCACTGCCTACAGCATCTGACTGCGGTCCACAAAACGCCCCAGATGCACACATACTGTAAGAAAAACACAATCCTGCCCTAAATATATCCCCGGTGCCTCTGGAGAGTAAGTGAAAGTCAATATTATTGAGGCTCAGCAATGAGGCAATATTTGAATTTCAAATGAGCCTCAGACAGTAGAGAAAGCTGGCATTCAGTCACCCTGACAAGAGTGTACATGAATAGTGAAGAGGTGAACACATGACACAGCGCTGACAAATAGCCCGTACATTATGCTGAATGGGAAACAGTGTTTCACAGAGGGGAAATGGGATAATTGATCCAAATTAGGAAAGGGTGACGTCGAGCACTTTGTGAGGCAGAATGTGAGTAGTGTTAATACGTCTTCTCGAATGAAGTGGGAATTTACAATCCTGCATGTATAAATACAATGTTTTATGCAGTCAAATAAAGGAATCTGTGCAGGTCCATTTGGTAGAGAGCTTAAGCTTTTGGAGGAACACCATAACAGCAAGAGTGAAATGATAACAATTTTCAGCAGAAGATACTTTACTATTTTCTTTTCTGCATAGTCTGGTGGTTTGAATGTTTTACAGAAAAGTTCCCCAATCCATAATGAAAGTTGTAGTCCTCAAAAAAAAAAAAAAAATCACAAAATACGTTAAAAACAAATCCCTGTCTTAATTGTTGGCGCTCTTCGTGGTAATAGCTTCTCCCCTATCTCCCCTTTTCAGTGGTTCAACCTTCCATATTTATTTTCCTGCATCGACGGTGCGTTTCAACTCTGAGAGAGGGATTACACGCCTGGCTTGTCCTACATCCTACAGCCTGTGCTGGGACTGGTGCTGCCACCCACCACAGTACCTCGACTGCTCCGGGGCTACCAGCATGGCCCGGGTGTGAGCTTATAAATGACCCGGGACCAGGCGCCATGCAGTGTCACCCCTTGAGCGCACCCCTGTAACATCCCTGGTAGGCCTATATACAGCACATGAACTCACACAGTTGGATGACACCAGTTTTTCTTAAAACACACACAATTAGCTCCATCCTCCATGCTACTATTTCTGTAGTATTTGCATGATATGTGGCACCACCGAGCCTTGCCTGAAATTAACTGGGAAATACAGTAATAGACAATAAAAATGTGACTGCATAATCAGCAAGGGAGGATGCAGGAAACTTTGCCCACAAGTGGAAAAGTTTGGCCTGATTGTGGTGCTAGAGAAGAGGTCAGCGGGTCACCAAAAATGTATGTATGTATGTAC